CACACACACACACACACACACACACACACACACACCCTTACCAAATCAGACTGTTACTCTTGGTCAGCGATCCCCAGGAGCCGCCACCAAGGACCATGACACACAAAGGCACTTTGTCATTTATTGTGCAGATGCAGTTTGCTGTTGCCAGCCAGCCAGCCAGCCCTCAGATGCCATTGACTTGACCTCCTTCTCGCCCTTCCACTCCTCAGCACAGTGGTCGGGACGCAAACACAACCCCAACGACCTCCACTGGTATTCCACAGCCCCTCGATGCTGCAGGACAGACAGCACACACGTACATACGCAGCACACACACGTACTCACACACACACACACACACACACGGACACATCTGTGCAGCGTAAGCACTCGTACACAAACATAGTCAACCCTGGTCTGACCAAGCCATTGGCCTGCACAGTTTTTAGTGATTGTAGTGAGAAGAGAAACTGAAAGCATGACATCTGTTTGCTCCTGTAAAACAAAGAGAAGGCAGGAGCTGGGATGTAGTGTGACCAATCTTTGCACCTTCAGTTATTGCCATTTTGAAAGACTGAGTCCTCATTGGCGGGAGCTGATTATTATATGTCTGTATATCTGTTGGGGTCCCCTCCCCAAAAACCATAAAGAGATTATGTAAAGAGACTATTGGTTGTGAGGCTTTGAAGAATCAACGTTAAGTTCGACACTGACCGGCTCCCGACAGAGCACAGAGGAAACGCAGAAGAAGAAAACTGGATGATGTTCATTGGACGAAAAAGATTCATATTCCAACAGTAGGAAGGCAGATGATAGTAATAATAGTGAATAAGGACAACAACAACAAGACAAGCTTACCAACAGAGAGAAAAAGAAGAATTTTAACCAAACTTCTCTGAATCTCCCAGTGGATAATATGATGTTGCTTTCTCTCGTTATTGTTGCCGTGGAAATAACCAGTTTTACCGTGGCCTGTTTTTCTCTTGTGGCTCTATTGTGTTTCTTCTCCAGCATAAAAGAAAATCATACAAAAAAAAAAAAACTCTGGACAAAGAAGGGGACAAAATCAGTGTGTGGGCCCTCGACTTTTAATCGTACCTGGGGTGGTTCTCCCCCACTCCCCCTCCCCCACAATTTCTCACCAGACATAGAAGTCGGGGGAGCAGGGGGCGTTTTGTCGTTTTGTAAAACGTTGAAATCAGGTGTTTGCACAATTTGTGCGGCCCTTCTCGTCTGGGACCGCCGTAAGTTAAATCAGGAAAGTATTGTTTTTAGAGATTGTTTTAGTAGAAAAAAATAATAACCTTGTTCCGTATGTTATCAACCACCTTTTTCCTCCCCTCGTCCCTCAGTCCTCTCCTCTTATCTTCCCCCTCCTCACCCGTGTCCCTCAACCCCCTCAAGTGTTGTTAGAAAGTGCCCTTAAGCACTGGTCCCGGGTCAAGCGCTATGTAGCTCAGGATGGTTCTGGTTAGGGTTAGTTCAGGGAAAGCAGATCCTAGACCAGCCCTGGAGGGCAGTCTCTGGAGCCCTCCCCTCTTTCCTCTCTTCTTGACACTTTATCCTTTCCCATCAAATGGTGCAATAGGACATTTTATTTTTTTCTTGGAAATGGGTGGGTTATTCAGTTTTTTGGGGGGAGGGGAAGGCTCTGTGCCATAGATATTAAATCCAGTGCAGTCAGTCAGTGAGAGGAATGAGCTGTTGTGGTATTTTAACTATGGTATAAAACAAAACAAAAAAGAATCACACAATTATTGTTATTGTCGAAGAGATAGAGAGCATAACTTACTAAAAGTCAAAGACAATTTTTGAATAGCACTTTTTGGCTCTTTGCTTCCTCAGTGAAGAGTGGGGGTAGTTATTATTATGGGTATCTCTTTTATTTCTCTGTATACAGTTGGATGTGTGAAAAAAATATATATACCGGTATTTCTATATATGTGCATTTAGGTCTGTGTTTGGGTGTGTGTGTATGTTTTGGCACATGCAGGTAGCGTGTTAACACAACCAATCTTTTTCTTTCACCACACAGCAACATTATCAATAGTATATTTTTCATTGTATTCTACATTCTATATTCTACTCTAGAGACAGTATTTTTATAGTCACCACGACTATTTTGTCCGTCATCTTGACTGTTATCAAACCCAGTTGATTCAGGATATATATGAAATATATATTCAGGATATAAAATATATAAATATATATATAAACAATATACAGGTAATAGAAGACTATCAACTCACATCTCTTTGGAGTTAGGGCTGTAAAGTGTCCATCTGCATGCATGTGCAATTACATGCACGCGCGCACGCACCCACACAGTCATATGTGCATACACACACATGTATGCGTGTACAATGTATGATTGTGCTTAAAAATAAACTGTCCTTACTTTGGAGAAGGAATTTTAGGATGAGCGAGGTGAGTGTTATCTCATAAGCAGGCATGTTGACCATGTGCAATATTTCTAAACAACAAAAAAAACTAAATATTGAAAATATTAAAGATCTAACACAATGTCTGGTGTTGTTTTGTTTATTTCACATGCCTGAACATCACATGTTTCATTGTTTGTCTTGCGTCAGATACTCTTCCCTGCGTGATTGCAATCTTGACTATGCTCTCTCCAAACTCCTTATGCAAGAGACGAGAGAAACGAGTGAATGCAATTACATAAACAACTTTATCTGTATGCTATTGGAAAGAACCTATAGATGTCGCCACCTCGACCCGCCGGCCCCAGATCCCTGGAACATACAGTGTGTACTTTTCCAGCTGGCCTTTATCAAGCACCTCAGTGTTGAGAGAGCTTATTGGATTAGCATAGCCTTTCAGATTCATTCCATGTTGGATGAGAGGTGGGTTAAGGTAAAGGGACCTCATGAGAGAGCTTCACATACTGGCAGAGGCACAGAGACGCAAGAGATAGAAATTCTACGGTGTTGCAAAGCTCAATCTGCCAAGTGTCACTTATGGCACTTTGCCAAAGTGTTATTTTCATTTGCATAATGATTGTTAATGTCATTACAATTTTACAAACATCTAAAATATGAATAATCAGGTTTTAAAATAAAATGACAAGATATTTGATGTACCATCTTCTGTAATCTGTGATGTAAAAATAATCTATGATAAGTAAAAATGTGTCATTAATTTTTAATACATATTTTTAGGACTCATATATAAATATATCATACATACAACTTGTTTGTGCAATCATATATAGATTTGTCTTTGTCCTACATCCACTGAAAAGTCATGTTATATTTGTATTTGTTTTGATTTGTGAAAGTCACTGAACCGAGCTGTCTATTTCTAGTGCATTATAATATGATTTTATAATTTTACAAACATCTAAAATACAAACAAAATAAGATTATAAACTCACTTGTCTACCAGCTACTCTAATCTAATATTTAAAAAAAAAGGATATATATATATGAGGAAAACAAATTGAGTTAAAAACACGTTGTTGTTGTCAGAATAAATATGTTTCACCTTTTTATTTGTATTAGATTTATTAATAAATAAATAAAATTTGCCTCCAGCCACAGAAAAGTCATTTTTAACATTTGTAGTTGTTTTGATCTGAGTGAGTCACAGCCACACTGAACTCCATCTCCCAGGCGGCATTGCGCGCGGTCTGTTTCTAGGTGTCTAGCAACGGTCCAGACAGCCGGCGGCAGCGGGAGCGGTGATCCTCGGCGTCTCTTCCCCACGATTATCCGCCGCTGGGTGTTCACGGTTAATGGTCGCCGGGCTGAAATAGTGAGGAATCAACCCTGAGCCCTGCGCAGAGATATGAGCGGCAGCGGGCGGCCCAGGACCAGCTCGTTTGCTGAGCCGCCAGGTGTTCCGGGAGCCGCCGCTGCGTCCGCCGCCGGATCAGCCGCTGCCGTGGGGAGCAGCACAGGAAAGTCCGGGGTCCCTCAGGCCTCCGGCACCAGCTCGTCGGGATGCTCGAACCTGAAGCTCGCTCGTAAGTTTCCCACCGTCCACCGTTTCTTCGCCGGGGCGCCTCCGACAATTACACGCCGCCCGGCGCCGTTTCCTCTTAAATACACCGGGCTGTAATTCGTGCCACAACCCGGAGGAAGACGTTATCGCTCCCGTGTGGACGCTAACCAGCTCGCTAGCACGCTAACTAGCTAGCATGCTAGCGTCAGGCACTTGTTTTGCGGGCTGTGTTGTCAGACTGCAGCTCGACCGGAGGGTGTTTTCAGCTCATACCGTGTTAAACTGCATCACTTAAACCGGTTACAACCTCCATTAACCTCGCGTTTAATCCGATGCACTGATGTTTTAGCACCAGATCGACATCGGTGGGGTTTTCTCCGGAGCAGTTTTCTCGGGGCTCTGTTGTTCTTTGTGCCCGAGCCAGACTGACATACTTCAACTTGTTGTTGAGGACGTGTTGTCATCCATCGGTCGGCCTCGCCTGTGGAGGGGGGGGGGGGGGGGGTCAGGGTGGAGAGTTGCCTCCTCACCAAGGTCACCTGTGGGGCAAAGGCTCGGCAGCAGCAGGTGGCCGACGCCTGGAGGGTGCGAGGGATGCGCAATCTGCTGGAACGCCAAGGAAGAAGGTTTCCCCCCCCCGTGTGAGGTGATGGAAGTGTAGTTCATCATTATCACTGTGTGCATGTGTGTGAATCATCCATCAGCAGGCAGCAGCTCGTGGCTTTAATGTGAGACTCTGTATGGGAGGTCATCTCCAGTTCAAAGCAGGGAGAAGCTTGTTTCCTCTGCCCCCCTCTGCAGAAACAGCAACGACACTGCCCCAGGCCCCTTTAAGCTCAAATGTCGCCTTCGGCTGTTCCAGATACTCTTATGGATGATTGATGGATACGTTGTCAGGTTTTGGAGACTGGGAGGCTATTTCAAGAGTCAGGCTTAACCTATTTTATGGAGATATATGCTGGAGAGAATGATAAGTACATCTTAACTCGGACGTGGAGCATTAAGGATGATATGTCATATGAAACACTGAAATGTATTTTATGATGAAATGTTTCCAGGTTTCCGACTTGTCCTGCTGTTATAAAATACATCTATGGCCTAAGTCCAGTCTTCTAGTTTGTAATAAAGAGTCCTGGAACTTCATCGGGGGAATGGCACTGTGGCTTGTCGGCCGACCACAGCTTTTCTGTGTGGAGTTTGCATTTTCTCAACGTGTCTTAAGTGGGTTTTCTCCGTCTGGCTTCCTTCCACAGTCCAAAGAGATGCGGGATAATTAAAGACTCTAAATTGGCTTTAAGTGGCTGAGATTGTGAGTGTGAATGATTGTTCGGACCCTGTTTTAACATTCGTCCTGAGCGATCCAGTGTCCTGTCACAGGTGGTCGGTGCTGAACTCACCCACATGTGCTTTGAATTAATCAATGCACTGATGAAGGAAGATTCTACCCAGTTGTGGGAAAAAAAAGACATCATGAGGAGGTGGTCAGTGTTGATATTGTGGTGGTGGCCACAAACAAATCAAGTTGGTGATCAGCTGACACTTTAATGATAAGTTATTTCAGCCAAAGGGAAATGGATCTGGAAATTGTGATGACTTCTGTAAATCAGAAATGTTTCCCACTGCCCATTGTAATGATCATGTCTGCTGTCACAGTGTCCAAGCAGTTGTTCCATTATTCTCTGTGTGTGGAGCAGCTCCAGGGTTTGTCTCATCACCACAGTCTGTCTCTGTGCGAACCAGCTTTGGGAGAGATGCTCGTATTCATATTAAATACACAATTTCATGTCTGATTTTCCCTCTAATGGAACAGTCACTGTGTAATGACTCATGGTTGTCTCTTTGGGAAGTTCAACAGAGACAGAAATGAAAAAACAACATCATGTGATCAACAACAGGGCTTTCTTTCACAGTGCTCATTTCCACAATTGCTTAATTCAAATTTTATGTAAACCACTTTATGCGCTGACAGACATAACCACGATCCACTGTGAAACTGTCACAAGAGCACTATAACTTTTAAACAGTAGATACTTGATGGAAACCTCAGTCCTCCAGCAGACGCTCTCCCTGCAGAGCAGATGTCCTGGTTATATTTGGGAAACTCTTGCTGCATTAAACTGCATATTAATAAGCTAAACTTCATTCTCTTAAAGTCGCTTGGCTTAAAGATGTGGAGTTCGCTTCAGTACCGTGTTCTTTTGTGTATAAGGAAGTAAATGACACGATGCAAAAATGTTTTTACTCAGTCAATCAACAACTGACTCCGACACTTGCTTTCTTGCTAACAGCCTCTCGGAAGATTTGGGGCAAATATCTGGACTTCAGGGCAGATCTGAAAACAGCTTATGATACATTATTTACTTCCGTCAAGTTTCAAGCCTTTGGAAGTTTATTTTCGGGACTGTAAAAAACTGTCCTGCCTTTAACCTGGAGCCCGTCGTGTTTGTGTCCAGAGGATGAACCCAGTCACTGAGGTAGAGAACTCACTCACACGGTCACTGCAGGTCTCACAGTTTCAGCTGTAACAGATATCACCAGCATGCCTATTGGATGTCCTGCACTCTTTAGTGACTGAGGACAGTTTACTGTGTGTTTGTGTGGACGTACACGGGCACCCGGACATGCAGTTCTTGCAGTAAGAGGGCGATATGAATAAGTGCATTGTGTTGTTTGGTAAACAAAGCAGTAAGTATGTGGACATGCTCAGACTGACAATGATACCACACGATGACAACTACATGGCAAAGGGCTGCTCCGTTATTTATTTAAACACTGATCAGCAGAGGAAAATTTAATTTTCATTGACTTGCAACACTGGAATCCAGAACTCTTCTTCTGCATTAGTATGAAATTACAGTTAATCTGCAATCTGTAAATGAATTGCTCTGTTCATAATGTGGATCTCTGTATTTCGACTACCTTTCAATTACAACCTTTATTATTTCTATTATTCCGCTCCGTATTATTGAGACTAATGATTTGTTTCTTATTGATTAATCGACCAATTTTGCAGCTTCCGCTCTAACTCTTGAGCCACAGCAGCTCAACTGCAATCATTTATTTCTCCACATGCGAGACGATGAAGTCAGTTATGAAATCGTGTTTTCTTCAAGGCAGGATTTTACTACGTGTGAAAGTTTTCATTGCAGCAACATGTCTGAAGTAAACAATAAATTAGTAAATTGTAATTCTGGTTTGATTTGATTCCGTGTGTTGCTGCAGGATAATATGAAAAAATAATCCTCGTATAGAAGCCTTTCATTACTTAAAACAGTTTATCAGGACAAAGAAGGTGCCTATTCCTGGATTCCTTCCCAGTTTAATTAGTCACAGTGTCTTGAAGATGAACTCCTGTCATTCCCTTCTCCTTCCTTGGAGGCTTTTGTAAAGATGACATCCGTTCACTGGGCTGTCATTAACCTAAATATTCACGGCCCAGATGTGATGGTTGGCTGCAGTGAGCGTGCTGGGTTGGATGTCAGGGGTATTGTTTCGGTTACATTGTGAATAAGTGTCCTTAACTCTTGTGGAGAGGAGCCAGAGGGACCGCAGCCAACTTTAATCCTTCTTATACTTTATCACGTTCTAACACAATAAAGCAATAAAGAGTCTACCTGTTATTACACATGACTGGTGTTCAAATTTAAATATAGGAGATGAAAATAACCGCCCTGTTCTTACCCATGTTACACGATGAAGTGACAGTGCTTGTTTCCTAGGAGACAGCGGCAAGGTGACGACAGTGGTGGCCACACCGGGTCAGGGACCAGACCGTCCACAGGAAGTCTCTTACACTGACATCAAGGTGAGCAAGACAACTTAGCACCAGGACCTTCACGGTCATCATACAAAGCTTTGCTCAGCTACTGCTTTAACCAGTTTGGAGGTTTTTGCTTTAATCAACAGCGTGTTCTTTCAGTTTGAGCTCATGACTTGTTGAATTTCATCAAAATAACTTTTCATCAAAACCCTGCCCTTGCACTCAAATATCTCCTGTTTGCACTTAAATTTGCTCTGCTTCTGCTCAAACTGTGCTTGTGCTCAGATATATTGTTGAGTCAAACCAAGTTGTCAATACCGATGTCAGGGAGTAAAAAAAAATCCCATTATTGATATATAAACCAATATATGTATGTAAAAAAAAACGTAATCCCATAATTTGTCAGATGTCGTTATCATCTGAAGTTTGACATCTTCAAATTGTTTTTCTTTTTTTGTCTCGAATTCACCGGTTGAAGTGTTTTAACTTTCACGATCATCATCTTGCAGGTGATTGGTAATGGGTCGTTCGGTGTGGTGTACCAGGCTCGGCTCATCGACAGCCAGGAGATGGTGGCCATCAAAAAGGTTCTGCAGGATAAGAGGTTCAAGGTAAAACTGTCATGTCATGTTATTTCTCAACATATTTGCTTTTCTTTGTTGTGGTAAATTATGTGTGCACGGTTTTCTCTGTCACTTGGTTTATTTATTTTTGTACACTCGTGCGTTTGCAGAATCGTGAGCTACAGATCATGAGGAAGCTGGATCACTGCAACATTGTCAGACTACGTTACTTCTTCTACTCCAGTGGTGAGAAGGTACTTCAGCTCTTTTTGTTTTTCACAAAACACAGATTTGACGAGATTTTGAAAAATTCATTTCAACCAACAAATCAAAAATGCGATTGTACAACTCATTTAAAGTGAATTATATATATTACAAATCTATTTTCTGATAATACGAACCTTTGACTATTCAAGGAAATTTTTGTTTAACGGGAAATGATATGTGCATGTACTGCACATAAAGGATTACTCATGCACAGCGTAAATAGAAATACCCTGACCATAAAAATGGGAAGCAACCCATTTCTCAAACTCCCGAATACAGTAATTCTACGTTCAATTACTGGAAACATTTTCAGTCTATGTCTTATGTCATAATTCAGTTTGAGTTCAATGCTTCTGAAAATGACTACTCAGAAAGTGCAGGTCATGATGAGCAATGCTTTTACAGCTGCTCTCACACGTGCTCTGAAGTCGGAGGGGCTGAATGTGAGAACGTAAATGTCCTCGTCAGTTGTTCCCAACAAACAAAAACATTTGCACAGTGTAATTTATACGTCATGTCCTGCCCCCTGCTGCTCTACCCTGGCTCCACCTCTAGTCTGAATGTTGTGGACATTTTGCTGTTGTTGTGAACGAGTCTGACCCCGACAATCTTTCATTCTTCACACGTGAAAGGCAAAAGAAAATGTCTGTAAAATTGGGTCAGGGCATTTTCAGGATGAGGTTATATCTGAAAACATACTGACTGTCTCTCTCTCTCTGTCTCTCTTTTTGTTTAATGCTGTCCAGAAAGATGAAGTGTACCTCAACCTGGTGCTGGACTTTGTCCCTGAGACGGTCTACAGGGTTGCCAGGCATTTCAACAAGGCCAAGAGCATCATTCCTATCATATATGTGAAGGTAATTTTTATTCACAGTATCACTTAAGAGTTTAGAGTACTCTTACAGTTTTTATTTTGAATAAAAGTGAAATGAAAGTATAAATACACTGATCAAGGTTTACTGAATTTATCAAATGGAAACCCTGTCGTAGTGAAACAAAGCCGTACATAACCATACAGCTGTTGCCATGTTGTCTCTTGATCTTGTGTTCTACCCCCGCAGGTGTACATGTACCAGTTGTTTCGCAGCCTGGCTTATATCCATTCCCAGGGTGTGTGTCACAGAGACATCAAGCCCCAGAACCTGCTTGTCGACCCAGAGACTGCCATCCTCAAACTGTGCGACTTCGGCAGGTGAGTTCTTGTGATTGGTTCCAGTTACTTTGTAACTTTAACTCTGAATAACTATTCTCCCACAGTAGTTGGGCCTTTTCATCGCCCGACTGACCCCTGGACTCTGTGCTGCAACCTTTGTCGTGATGTAAAGTGATTTCTTGTGTTTCCCCAGCGCCAAGCAGCTGGTCCGCGGTGAGCCCAACGTGTCGTATATCTGCTCACGGTATTATCGAGCCCCTGAGTTAATTTTCGGTGCCACAGACTACACAGCAAACATTGACATCTGGTCAGCAGGCTGCGTTCTCGCGGAGCTGCTGCTGGGACAGCCCATATTCCCCGGAGACAGTGGAGTGGACCAACTTGTAGAGATTATCAAGGTGACTGTGTTTTTGTGTTTTTCAGGTGTGTGTTGTGTGTGTTGCAGAAAACAGACCTTAAATCAGAACAGTGTGAAGAGATGTGTCTCTCTGAAACGACCAGACTCAGTCCTGTAAACCTCTGTGGGTCCACACAGGCTGTAACTGTGGATATATTGTGACTGTGCTTTTTAAATTGTTGTTATTGTTTCACAAGACAAGTAATCACAACACACCCTGATGTTAATGGAATACTGCTCATACTCCCCTCACCGTCTATTTTCAGGTTCTAGGAACACCAACACGAGAACAGATCCGAGAGATGAACCCAAACTACACAGAATTCAAGTTCCCTCAGATTAAAGCTCATCCGTGGACCAAGGTAAAGAAAAACCTGAGGGTGAAAAACCTTCCTGGAAACACACGTGGAGTGAATGAGACAGATTCTGTGTCCTGGAATTGAGAAATTATAGTCGTTTATAGTCTGGATTCATTCGTTAGTATAGAGAACGTCAGACAGTAGACTCTATTGTTACGTCTTCAAATATCTCAATATTAATATTTACAATTTTAGAAAACGGACAAATGTTCACAGTATTTATATATTTAGTTATCTGGGATAACTATAATAGTTCTGTATTGTTTCAATGGTCGTTCATGTTATTTTAGTCCAGATTTCTATGACATTCCTCACATGGTATGAGACACATTTTATAAAGTAAAATGTAAATGAAGTCCTCTAAAAGAAAGAAAGCCTGTCGACGTGTTGTCGCCCACACAGGCTGTTTAAATCTGCTGGCTGAAGTGTTTTAATGTCCATCTTCTGAAAGTCGATTAACCCCGACAGAAAAACACGTACAACCACCTGAAGTAGCTCTTCAACATTTACTACAGAGAGGATCGTTTTCTGCCCTACTTTTATTTATTTTTTTACATCCACCAACATTTATACAAAAAGGTCATTGTGGAACTTTCTCTTTCTACATTCACCACACTCACTAAAATAAAACAGCTCATGTAAATAATATGTCAACATTCAGAAGGTAAAACATTGTTTTAATGTAAGACATCACCTACACACAACTTTGAATTGAGGCTATGACTGGTTTCTTTTTAATCATACCTTTTTGTGGCAGCTTGAATCTAAACTGAAACTCCCCTGGTTCTTCAGGTGTTTAAGCCCCGCACCCCTCCGGAGGCGATTGCCCTCTGCTCTCGGCTGCTGGAGTACACACCGGCCTCACGCTTCTCCCCACTAGAGGCCTGCTCACATGCCTTCTTCGACGAGCTGCGCCAGCCCAACACGCGGCTGCCCAGCGGCCGAGAGCTGCCGATGCTCTTCAACTTCAGCACCACAGGTACACGAACGCACATGTACTCATTTAGGATTCAGGGTTGAGTTACAGCACAACACAAACCAGGAGCTACACCATGGATCTGCTGCGTCTCAATGGTTAATTTTTACCTGATTAACAATGAAAAGTTAGATTTCCGTCGCTCCTGGTTGATAAATTGTCGTCACCACATGTTAAGCGAAACACAATGAGGTTGTGTTTGCTGGTTCTGCTCGTCGGGCCGAGCTGCGGCCCCCGAGGAGGTGCAGTGAAGGCAACGCACACTATCCTTTTGTCCAGTGACACGATGACTCACCATTAAACAGAAACTCTTCTTCTATCCTCTGCAGAGCTGTCGATCCAGCCGCAGCTAAACTCGACCCTCATCCCTCCTCACGCCCGCTCTCACACAGCTGCTTCCGCCCACGGTGGGAAACTTATTGTGATTTACTCAGATCTAAGTTGTGATTCCAAGTTATCGCTGTAACTAGTGATTTTACGAATCACTCATAGTTATTTAACCACACGAGTCGTCAGACTTGGTCATGTATGTTGCGGAGCATTCATTCATAAAGTACTTGTTCTCTTCTCCTCCTCAGATGGCACCGGTTCAGATTCATCTCAACACAGTTCAGTACCAGGATCTCTCAACAGCATCTGAAGCAGCTTCTCACCTGCCTGCCTGCCAGCCCCACACACACACACACGCACGCACACTTGACACACACACACACACACACACACACACACACACACACACACACTACAGCTTTCCTCTGTGCCGCTTGCTCTCCTCTTAGATGATCTGTTTTTGTACAGTACACACGTTGAACAAACTCGTAGTTCTTTAGCTGCCAGGGTTGAAACTACGGCAGGAGATTGTTACACACACACACAGAGTCGTCTTGCTGCTGCTCAGGTGGTATGTGAAGGTTCAATAGTAGGGGCTGGTCCTCTGTTATATAACCTTTTTTCTTTTTTCTTTTTTTAAATCAACCTTTTCCCCCGTTTTCTTCTTTATATCTGTGTTTATTTATTTGACGAATTGAAATGCATCATGTGAGCTCACCACATTTAGTCGCTACAGCTTTTTCTTTTCTTTTTTTTTTTTAGGCTTCTTCCATGTTTTTAAATCGCCTTTAGTTACGTGTTGGACTGCACGCTGCCTGACCAAGACTAGAAATGCCCCCAAGTAGGTCATCAGGGTAACGGATGTTTTTATCTCACTCGGGGCTGGAGAACTGATGCAGGGACTGAAACATTCAGAAATCCTCCAGCCACATTATTCAGTATATATATATATATATATACATATATATAGATATATGTATATATATGTGTGTGTGTGTGTGTGTAGAGTATACAGCCTGATGTTTAAGCTCAAGTTAAATCTCCAGCTGGTTTATTCCCTGTTGAAGCGGCAGCACCAGGTAGCATTTATCAGTGTTCGGTTGGAGATCTGTTGTATTTGTCTCTGATGTGAATCATGTTCAGTAGCTGTATTTTTAGACTGAACTGGAAATCACCAGACTCTGAGTAACAGCTGTTGCTTCTGTTTTAATCCTGAACTAAAGACGACACGTTCATATATT